CGTTCAACGGTTTCGTGTATTTCGTCTTCAACAGCGAGATAAGCATGTCCGGTCAACTTATTTCTCAACAGTCGAACTAGGTGTGCTTCATCAGTGAGAGGCACTAATTCTTTTGCCCTCTTACAGGCTCTTGCAAACTGAAGCACGGGGATATTATGACCGTCAAAAATAGGCACGAGTTCTAAGGCGTCTCGAATAAGAGAATTTGGAAAAACGTTCTGTGCACTGGGAGTTTGTATAGGAAAAGGGTTAGCGCGTTCGGAGGCCGGATCAGGAGTATCGCTGTCGGAAACTGGGGGAGGTATTTCAGGTTGTCGAACAAACGATAAGGACAAAAGAGGTTTTTCGCGTGTAAGTCGTAAAGATGTAGTGAGATTATTAATGAGTAATTCGAGAGAGGCCGTTCTCCTAGACAATTCGCGAATGTCGGCAGTAGCGTCCGCGGAAGAGCGAGGATTCGGGCCGGCGGTATTAGAAGGATCGGTCGATGTACCGTCGGCATCGAGATTACTTCGTATTCTAGAAGTCGAAGGAGTGTTCAGATCCCCTGCAGGAAAAGCGTTAGGATGGTCGCTAGTAAAATCGTCGGAAGTTGGGAAGGTGGGTATTGATAAGTGAGGAGCAGGGCGCGACATATTTCTAAGAAAAACTCGTGAGACAGTTGATTGCGTATCAGACAGAGTTTGACAATCTTGAACAAGGCGATTGAGATCGACAATAAAGTGGGAGTCTATTATGACAGTTTAATCTTACAGGAATTAAGCGAGAAAAAAATTAGTTCAGTCTTACAGGAGAAACGAATTGCAAGACACGGACGACGGTACATAAGCGAACGCGGGGAAGGTATTTCTTATAAAATATTATTACACTCTACACTCTTTTAATCGATTAAGAAGATTCTTGAATGGGACAGTACAAACGGCTGAAATTTCCTCTAGTCTATTAACGATAATTTGCATTTATTTCTCCTGATCGAATCCCACCGCTGTCACCACTTTTTTTTCTGTTACGTCCCGTGGAATTTTATTGGATTCAATAGAATTTATTTGATAACGTGGATATGACTATGAGGAAAACGCCCCTGTACGGAGAACAATACACGATTTGCGAAACACATCGAACGACATAGAGGAAATATTGTTTATTAACTTGGATATCGAAAGGCTTACTGTGATCGGATGGCTGGAACGTCACTGTTTAGGCGTCCGACGGAACGAGAGAAGGAGCCCTCGTACGTGCCCGCGTTCCTCCCACCTGAGATGACGGAATGTCGAACGCTCGCGATATCGCATTCCCGGCTTCCGAAAGTCGCGTCTGTCTTTTCTTGTACGAATTAATTAAGAAGATCGTGAAATTGGTTGAAGTCACGAATACACTTGGTTGCAACAATTGTAATGAGAAAGAACCAGAAAGAAAAAAAAGGAGATATACGAGAATATGAGAGACCGTCACGAGATGATGGAACTTGAAGATTCTCTAAGTACAATAGTTAAGGAGAGACTTGTGAACACGCGTCCGAAACGTGTGACGGCCTCAACGAGAGTGAAGAAGCGGGCGGCTCGCCGACGGGCCGAGGAGTTCTTCTTTGTGTCGGAGCAAGACGCGAGTTACTCGATCTCCGGATGCAACAACGATAAGAACGCCGCCAAAGTGTCGCCTAAACAGTTCGGTTACCTTAGAATGAAAATGTTTACAATTTTATAGTCAACCGCGGGTGGACAATAATGCGGCAATCGCGAATTTAGGTACGACGTTTTACAATGATAGGCCAAGGAAGCGTTCCTGGCGAATTCGGCGCAACAAGTTTAATAATTTTAACGGAGAGTGGCAAACGGGGGTAGTATAATTTTATAATGATAGGTTTTTACTTCTTTACACTACATTTCTAACGCTTTGATCTAATAACCGGATAATATGTAAAGTTTAGTGAGATGTCGGATGAAAGAAACAAGGTGGAGAATTACGACGCGATATGCCTTGTCTTCCATCCAAGATTCCTGAGAGCGAAGCTGGGCCGTGCTGCTGACGCAAAACAGTTATGAGATTCGTGGAATCACAATGCTTATACTGCAGAGTTATAAAGATAACGATTAAAAAAGTTGTTAACGGTTATAACACAACTTTCCCACACTTAGTGCTTATTTTTATTGTTAAGAAGCAAGAGATGGGGAAGCTGCATAGTCTGTCCGCTATGATAAAAATAATTTGGAATAATAATAAGAAATAATAGCCAAGCCCTCGCGCAACCGGGCTGTTATTCTTGAGACTACGTAAGCAATGATAAAGCATACGCGCGCTGTAGAAAACGACTTGCCAAATTAACATAGAACAGAAGTGCCGGAAAGAAAGAAAACAGAAAAGAGTAACACAATTCATACGTTGGGTCTGGCACATAAAATGTGTCATCCAAAATCGATATATCAAATTAACACACGCCGGTGTCGGAAATTTAACACAAGGTTTTCCATATACAAAGGAATAGTAAAAGGCATTAAAGCTAACGCATTAACTTAAAATAAAATGCTAGTCACAATTACAGGTCGCCGTTACGAATGTCAACATAATATTATTCTAGTCCATATCGAACGAGGGATGGGAGAACCGGAAGTTTAGATTGCAAGATGTACCGCTCGATAAAGATAAAAAAAAGAAATAAGAAAAAGGGGGGAAGAATAGGAGCTGAGACGTAACAATATATATACAGGGTGTTTTATAACTAATCTGGCAGAGCTCGTGGAGACATAGAGCGGGTTAAGACAAATATAAAAGTCCCATACCATTTTGTGAGATTTGCAATAATTATCGAGTTATTAATGACAGAAATCTGAGGAGTGAGTGCACGTCGACACGTTATGGGAGGAGCATCTAGCCGCTCAGGCTAAAGAGCACTGTCCAGTCGACAAAGGAACTGTTGCCGGCGCGCGCCGAGAGGAAGGACGATGCGCCAATGTTTGTCCTTACCTCGCCGCTCCTACATCCCGCCGCACCGCGTCTAAGCTCGTGCCGATATGGCCGCTGAATATTCGCGATTACAATTATGAGATTATTTTATGAGGTACCACAGATAGCTCATATTGAATTGTAAAGTTCAAGATTCAAAAGTTCTTTGATCAAGGAAAATATCGAAAAGGAGAAAGCGATAGAGAGCGATGAGATCTACAGAGATTCTCATCGTTTTCTATCACAATCTATCGTTTTGCTGCATCGGATCCGAAAGAAATGATATCGCGTAAAGATAGAGTACGATGAACACTTTTCATCGTACTCTACACGGAAGTCTACACGGAAAATATGTTTGGTTGAATGAACCCATTTTCTGACGAAATGAGAGAGAGGAAGAGAGAGAGAGAGAGAGAACGATTAAGAAATTTTGATTGAGAATAGCACAATTTTGTTTAAGTTAACCATAAACCTTGATGAATTAGACTGAGTGTTAATATTTTCAGTTAATATTTCTCTGTATTGTTCATATTTCATTTGCAAGCTGTATCATGGACCAAACATTTTTACCATATATCACGCATAAATTGTTGCCTTATATCGTAGTTCTTGTCAGTGGTATATTAACGATAGAAGAAACTGAAAGTTCTGTATCGTACAATTGCGAAAAGAGGACTATCATTGTCAATGATGCATCAAAGATACTCGTCATAAAATTGATTCCTAGGTATAATCGCGATACAACGCAAATCCGAGTGTGTTATTTTGACATGCATAAATGTATGATTGATTGACGCTTTCTTTATATGTTTCTTGTCGTCAGAAAATTGGTTCATTCAACTAAACATATTTTCCGTGTAGACTTGAAGAAAACGATAGGACACGATGAGTCTCTACGCGAATTCTATCATACTCTAACAATTAAATATTCTCCTAACGATAGAGTACAATAGAATACGATGAAAAGTGTGTAACGACGAAAAATGTGTAACGGCCGAACTCCACGTTTCGGTCGTTGCTACGCGTTTTGCGCGGATAAAGCCCATGTTACACTACGGATTGAAGATCAAGGATTGCGGATTGGAGATTAGATTTCGACAAATCGACGAACTTCGGTTTTGATTTACTTTATTCCGATTGGTCAAATTTCAATCTTCAATCCGCAATCCTTGATATTCAATCCGTAGTGTGACGCAGGCTTAAGGCTCGTCGGAGTGCAGGGTCGGTGAGGAGGAAAGCAGCGAGACAGTGGACAGTAACAAGATAAATAAATTAACTTTATTCGATACTTAGTTATGTACAAGAGCTCGGCCCCGAAGGCGTTGTCGCGGGTTGCGTCTATTAGACGCATCGTTACGGTACGGTGCGGTGCGGTGTGCGGTATACGCGCGTGTACGGACGGATAGGTCGCGCGGGAGGCGGGGCCTATTGCGCAACGCGTGGATGGTAACGGCGGTAACGGCGCGGTGATCGGTCTCGCCTCGCGACGCTGGGCGTCTCGGACAATTATCGCCCATATTCGGCTCGCAATCGCTCGCGCAAAGATGGTTGCCGAACCGGAGATTTTGACTCTCGGTCGAACGCACGCACGCGAGTCGCGAAAGACGCGCAAGGATTTCGTCCGTCGGGGCCGAGGACTCTCGACAGAGAAGGCACACGCACCTTCCCTTTTCCCTACGTTCGCGGAGGAAAACGACCAAGTGCTGCGGACACTCAGCGGAGACGACGAACGCATCGTCCCGGGTCCTTGGTCGCTAGACGGATCGCCCAGAGGCTGAGTACGCTCAGCGGAGTTCGCCGATGGACGAACCCCTGACTCAGGGCGGCGGGTAAAGGCTAGAGACTGCCGAGTACGCTTGACTGAGCACGCGCACGCACGAGCCCAGAAAGACGGGAGACGGCCAAGTATCGAGCATGCTCGATCGAGACTGCGGACGCACAATCCCGTTTTCTTAGTCGCCGGTCGGGTAGTCGGAAAGCGGAAGGCAGAGCGAAACGGATATTCTCACTATCGGCATGAAGCGTCTAGATTGCGTGAAGCGTCTTGTATTCTTTTATTGATCACATGCAGTGAATAAACGAACGAGTACTTTATTAGTTTTATTTACGTACAATAACTGTTCCATGTATCCTCCTTTCCTTTCTACATAACCAAGATATCTTCGAATTACAGAATTACGAACTTCTTTAACATTGTTTAAGATTGTAAAGATTAACTACTTAAGACGATACTCCGTTAATAATATCAGCAAGTATATCGTTGTCCAATATTGTAAGATGATTGCCTTCGATATGACGAACTTGTACGCTATCTTCGGTAACCTAAATAACGATTAATTTTATCAATTGTCGACCGTCAATCAATTTTCAAAACTAGAAACCTCATTGATATATGTCAATGTATTCAGATTACCTTGTTCAAGCCATCATTTTCGTCGGCAGAAGGAAGATAAGAAATTGTGGGTTTTAGTAACAATATAGGCGACTTCAGCGGCTGCAATAAAGACGCATCGTATTCGTGAATTGCGATCAGATGCTTATAGACTGTCGTATAATAAATCTTGTAATTTTCAAGAGAAGTCATTTGTACGGAATCATCTGGAAGACATTCAACGAAAGCTTCCAATTTTTTCTCCCACGTATCGTGCTTGGACAATTTTAATAGAATCTGTTAACAATTATCATTATTACATATTTTATATTATAACAATAAGCTCTCTTTACACAACGTACCGATGTATTATCGATGGAGTAGAAGTGATCCATGAGGTCTAGGAGAATATTATTCTGAAATTTCTGAAGATTTGTGAAAGGGAAATATTGTTCTTTCATAGTTTTCAAATAATCGGGTGCGCCGTCGATTAATATTAATTGTCCTGTGAAATTTTTCGCTTCCAACAGTCTCATTATCTCGATAGCAATTAATGCCCCATATGAATACCCAACTATTATGAATTCTATAGAATCTCCCATCTTTGATATTATATACTACAAGAAACATAAAATATTTTTTCAAGAAATATAAAATATTCTTTACAAGAAACATAATATTCTTTAAAAGTTTCTTCCTTCTTCTATTTTATTTCTTGATCGATATGAAGCGATTCTAATCGAGTGGAATACGGTCACTGAAATATGGAACAGATAACTTCCCTATTATATCAATACGTACAGATAACAGAGTGGCAGCCGACTGCAGCACAGATTCGCACATGGGGATGTTGTTTGCTCCGTGCTGCAAGCATGTTACGGGACCTTTAATTTTGGAAGCCAACGAATTAAATACGCTCCCGCAACCTTCGATTCCTGGTAGAAGAAATATTTGCTTTCTGCCTGCCTCATTTCTCGTTGTCATCTCCAAGCAAATATCTGAAACGATGTCTAAATTGCTCACTAAATGAATCATAAATTTGACACATGCCAAATCATGTAGCTTGGTCTGCTCGGAACATTTGTCTTTGTCGGCTATATTGCGGAGTTTCTCGAAAGTGAGATTTTGAATATCTTGCGTCGTAAAGTTAATATCGAATTTTCGCTCTAACGTTTGTTGGATCTCCACCGCCATCATCGAATCCATACCTATTTCTGATAATGGAGTGCGAAGTCCGACCATTTTCATGTCTTTCACTCCTAGAAGGTCAAAGATGGAAAGAGATAAGGCTTTTGATTTCTAGCTACGGTCACATTTTTTCATTTATAGCAGAAGGTACGAAAAAAAAATACGTACAATATTCTTATCATGACTGTAATTTTCAATTATACCTAGTGTTTCATCGCAAAAATCTCAAAACGTATAGATTTATCATACTTATGAAGAAAAGATTACCCATGATACTAGTTACGGTGTCCAAAATATTCATCACTCCATCCAGTTCCGCATATTTCTCAGCTATAACCATACTGCTCACGATCGTCCGATTTAGAACCATGAAAGTATCTAGCGACTGCAAGCATGACTGTATTTTTTGTTTTAGAATACCAGTGAGGTTTCGTTCCTTATCCGTCTGCATATCGGCCATGATGCCCACATCGTCCACCAAACCCCATTGAATAGCCATTCCAGGTAATCCATCTTGTACTCTCCTTTCACATATCCTCTCCATGATAGAATTGGCCATACCATAATTGGTTATTCCGGCAACTCCTCGACCGCACGAGAAGGACGAGAAGACGACGAAGTGCTGCAGATTAGGGCACATCTTTCTGGACAGTTCGTCCATCGTCTTCGTCGCCATTGCTTTCGGCTTGAATGATACTTCAAAGGATTCAGCGGTCTGATTCTTAAAGAGAGAATCTTTCAACACCACAGCAAGATTAAATATAGCGTCCACCGGTCCCATTTCAGCGGCAGAATTTAAGATGAATGCGCAATCCTTGTGATCAGACGCATCAGCACCCGCGATAATTTGCACATTTGCCCCGTGAGATTTCCATAGTTCTATTCTTGAGCGCTGGTAACCGTTTCGCAATCCGGTCCGTGAAGTCAGAAGAAGATTCTTTGCTCCGCGAAGAATCAGCCAATCGGCTAATTCTAAACCGAAGCCACCTAAGCCGCCCAAAATGATATAAGACATGTGATACTTGCAGAAATATCGTGGATAAGCGAGAATAGGAAGATCTAATGGTTTGTTTTCGTCGTGTATCTTTATCAGGATCTGAAAGTAAGAATAGTATTAGCAAAATTTCTTACGGTCGTATACTTATTGTTGCATGTGTGGCGACAATAATAAAAACATGAAATTTTAGTTTGTGCAAGAAATTACCTTCCCTATGTGTTTACCAGCTGCCATATACTTGAAGGCAACTCCTACTTCAGTCATTTCAAAAACTTTCCTCGGGAGCGGTTTTATTGAGCCGTTTTTCATACCTTGTGAGATATAATCATATATAATTTTATTATATATGATATTTTCTGTGACGGAATTTATTATATTGTCTAACATAACCGCGTGAAAACTGATGCCTTTCGCAAAAACTATTCTATCTAGGATATTATCGGCAATCAAGTCATGTTTTCCTATTTCTAAGAATCGGCCACTTTTCGCCAAGCAGCGAAAAGATGCCTGAAGTTTTTCCTCAGCTAAGAAATTTAACACAATATCCACCCCCTGACCATGTGTTTGCTGAAAGATCATTTGTTCGAAACTTGTGTCGCGAGAATTGCCGATATGATCGTCCAGAATCGAAGGGAAAGTTTCTCTAATAAATTGTCGTTTTTCCAAAGTCCCGACTGTCGTAAATACTTCGCATCCCGCGTAAAGTGCGAGATGAATCGCAGCTTGGCCGACGCTGCTGGTGCCCGAATGAATGAGAATTTTGTCTCCTTTCTTCATCTTTCCTTTTTCATAGAGAGCGTAGCAGCATATGGCATAAACATATGGAACTGTGGCAGCGTCCTCGAATGTCCATTCGTCGGGTATAACCCAGGATAGCACTGGGTCATTTATTAAAACATTTGATATTCCTCTAAAAAAGTAATGGTAACTTAGTAAAATTTCGTTTAAGTTGACATTGTTTTTCGGTCATGGATGAAAAAGTCGCAATTGCATTATGTATCTGCATTAATGACAAATTTAAAAACCACCAAAAGTATCGTTATAAAATTCTTCGATATATCTTTGAATAACGATATTTTGAATTATATTTTCCACCTGTTAGAGCATATCGCCATTATTCTTTGTCCAGACCCGTCATAACCAACGACTTCGAGGCCTAAGAGGGAATCGATATCTCGTCTAATCTTTTGAAAGGATTCCAACGTCAATTTACCAGATGTTATCATAATATCTCTAAAATTCAGTGTCGCATAAATTGTATGGATGATATTTTCACGCTTGACTTTGGGATATATCCGTCCTTCGACCCAGCATATAGTATTCATATCACCTTGAATCTAACAGAAATTAAGTTTAATTTATAATTTTGTAATACTATTAAAATAAAAATGGACAAATTAAATAGATCCCAGTCAATTCCGCTAAAAATTTAGTATGTAATTTTTTATGGTTTCCTGATCAAAAGACTACATAGACACTAGACTAAGAAATGGTCAGATTCCGAGATGCGAGGGCCAAAGATTGACCATGTGCCCGTGTGCTGGAGGGCATTAAAGCTGTTATGGCGCATTCGCTGGCTCATTTATTTTCTCTTGATAATGTTTCTTGATAGTGTTTATAGTATCTTCACCTATAAACACTATACATAAATGTATATATACATATATACATATATACGAGGGTAGATCAATAAGTACCCGTGTTTGGAGACAAGTTGCTGAGGAAAGTTGGCATTATCATCGTATACTACTATCCTTTAAACGCGCAATACAAAAATTTCAGACTGATTCATAGATTAATTTTGATTTGACAGCCATTTATATTAAACGTGTTTGGTAGTTTTCGATACAATAGAAAAAGAGCAATATCGATCTGTAATTCGCTTTTTATTTTTGGATGGAAAAATATGCGAAGAAATAAAAACGAAATTGGATACTGTCTATGGGGACCCTGCATCATCTATGACAACCGTGAGATATTGGTTCAACGAATTCAAACGTGGCCGTACTTCTGTTTTTGATGAGGAGCGCCTAGGCCGCCCGGCAGACGTGATTACTGAGGAAATCGTTGAAAAGGTTCACGACATGATTCTCGCTGATCGCCGAGCGAAAGTGCGCAAAGTAGCGGAGGCTGTAAGAGTATCGTATGGGACGGCAATTAATATTTTACATGATAAGTTAAGAATGAGAAAGTTGTCGGCCCGATGGATGCCGCGATTGTTCACGGTAGACAACAAGCGAATATGGCTGTCAATTTCGAAGTAGTGTTTGAACCTCTTTAAGCGAAATCCGCAGGAGTTTTTGCGTCGAGTCGTCACCGTTGATGAAACCTGGATTTATCATATGTGAAACGTGGTTCGCAGGAAAAAAATTCAGCTCAAACAAGGAGGTCATCATCGAGACAGAAGCCTATTTTGAAGAGTTTGACAAATCGTATTTTTTGGAGGAGTTAAAGAAATGGCAGGGACATTGGAAAAAATATATCGTCCTAAAAGGAGATTACGTTGAAAAATAAAAAATTTTATGAAAAACTTGCGTTTTCATTCCTAACACGGGTACTTATTGATCTATCCTCGTATACAGGGTTCTCAAAAAGTCCGGGAATGCTAAAATATTTTGAAAAATATGAAAAATATGAAAAAATGTTTGATACAAAAGTTGTAGAGCCTAAAAGGATCTATTTAATAGTCATATCAGTTTGACCATAAGTGGCGTTGCTAAGGTCATATGAAGGTCAACTTTGCTTTTTTAAATAGAACTCCCTACTTTTTATCAGACATTCCTTGTAGCTTATCTTGAGAGCTTTCCAAAATACTATAATAAAGTCATTTTTTGTTAAGTTATTTCCGAGTTACGACGCTTGAAAGTTATATATACCGCCGGCATTAACATTACCCAAAGTGTACCGCGCAGAGGTGCGATCAGAGATGCTTCTCGGTCCATATATTCTAAAAACGAGTTGCGCTCGCTCGTATCTCGCTCTTTGTCTCTTTTGTTTCTTTTTCCGATTATAATATCACATTCTTCTCTAAAAAATGTTGACCGAAAAAGAAAGAATATTACTATTTATTTATCGAGGATTTGGTGATAGCATTAGATTATATCAAGAAGTAGCTGATCTATTCAATGTTACACATCCTGATCTCGATCCTATTTTTAAATCCACCGTTTGCAGAACAGTGACTCGTTTTTTTGAAACGGGAACAGTTAAGGACCGATTTCGCAGCGGAAGGCCAGAATCCGCAACTAATGATAAGACTTTGGATGTTCTCCAATCATTTCAGGAAAATCCTCATTTGTCCGTATCAAAAACAGCATAAGCCCATGATATCAGTGAAGGCAGCGTTTCTAACATTTTAAAAAAGCATAAATATTATCCGTATAAAATTGTTATCGCTCAAGAATTTATGGAAGATGATTTTGATAGAAGAATTAAGTTTTGTGAAGAACTGATGCATCGGTGTGATGATAATGATAACATTTTGAATTTTGTTATTTTTTCTGATGAAGTCACATTTCAAATAAATGGTGCTGTTAATCTCCACAATTGTAGATATTGGAGTGACGAAAATCCCCATTGAATGAGTGATCTTCGCACACAATATCCACAAAAATTGAATGTTTGGACAGGGATTTGTACTCGCGGTATTATAGGCCCATTTTTCATAGATGGTGATTTAAATGCTGAAAAATATGAAAATTTATTGCGAGATCATATCATTCCTGAAATTGAAAATTTATTTGACGCAAACATGCAAAACGTTTGGTTCCAGCAAGATGGAGCAGGACTTCATTTTGCGATACGAGTTCGAGAATTTTTAAACCGTTCTTTTCCTACTCGATGGATAGGTAGGAGAGGTGCTATTGAGTGGCCTGCTAAATCACCTGATCTATCTCTTTTTGATTTCTTTTTTTGGGGACATATCAAAAGTAAGGTTTATGCGACGAAACCATGTAATTTGGAAGACTTGAAGAATCGAATAATGCAGGAAGCATCTCTGATCACTTTAGAACAAATAAGCCATGTGATCAATAGTTTCTATGAAAGTTTAGCTCATTGCCAAACAGTACAAAACATTTTGAACATTTGATTAATTGAAAAAGTAAAAAAACAATAGTTTAAAAAATGTTACTTACACACGCACGCACGCACGCACGCACGCACGCACACGCACACGCACACACAAAAAAGATGTAAATCTGACCGTGCAACCTCTATGTGGTACACTTTGGGTAATGCTAATGCCGGTGATATTTTAACTTCCAAGTCCCATAACTGGAGAAGTTCTTATGGAAAGAAGATTTTGTAGCCAATGTTTCGGAAACGTCTTAACGTCAACTGTAAGAGTATGTAACAAAAAATAGGAGATTCCATTTAAGATTTTTATGTCGACCTTGATAATGTTTCTCAAAATTATTCCAAGGTCAAATAATTATCAATATCTGATAGTATTTTTAAGACCTACAATTTTTGTTTCAAACATTGTTTTAAACAATCCTTATTTTTTTGAAATATTGGGAGTACAAATTAGTTCGGTCCGTTTTTTGTGTTAAAAAATGTATTTATTTCAAAACAAAATGAATGAACAGATCAATTAAAGTATTTTCCATCGTTGGCTACTATTTACTTTCTCCCATTTCTCAGGCAATTTTCGAATTCCATCTCGAAAAAATGACTCGTCTTTTGAGGCGATCCAAGTTTGGAGCCAATTTTCGATTTCTGCGAAAGAAGTGAACCGGTGACCTGCCAAATCGTGCTGCATCCTTCGGAACAACCAGAAATTAGAAGGAGCAATGTCCGAAGAATACAGCGGGTGCGGTGAAACATCCCATTTGAGCGTTTCCATACCTTTTCTTTGTTGCCTTTGAATCAGCTGCTCGCAAGTGAAAAATCGCCTTTTAACGTCTCTCGATTTCAGTTCATAAGGCACCCAATTTCCTTGTTTTTGAATAAATCCCATGTCTCTCAATCGTACGGAAACGGCTTGTTGAATCACTCCCAATGATTCTGCAAGTTTCTCTTGCGTTTGACTCTGATCTTCTTCGAGTAATGCCTCTAATTCTTTGTCCTCGAATTTTTTTGGCTGTCCAGAGCGAGGCTTGTCTTCGACGCTGAAATCTCCATGAAACGTCGAAACCATTCCCTACACGATTTATCAGTTGGAGTAGCGTCACCATAAACTTCAACAAGCATTCGATGGGCTTCAGCTGCACTTTTCTTCCAATTAAAGCAGAAAATTAAAACCTCCAGCAAATGCTGCTTGGTTAACACAAAATTCGACATTTTTAACACTGTAAAAAGCAAGGTTTTTGTATGAAACTCAAAGCGATATAAACTGAATATTATTAGCAGATGTCTAACTGAAACCGCCAAAATCGGCAATCACTATGAACCATTCATAACAGTCGGAGCCATCTTTTGAAAACGGACTGAACTAATTTGTACACCCAATAATCAGCCGTTCCGGAACTTTTGGCAGACCCTGTATATACAGGGAGTGGACAAAATAATGTGAACACCTTACTAATATATTAAGTGCGCAACTAAGTTCTCGCTGTTTTTTTGATGAAAATGCAACTTTATTGTGAAAAAATGGTTACAAATGAATCATTTAAAATATTGCCCATCGCTAGCGACAACTTTTTCCCATCTTTCTGGCAGAGCTCGAATACCGTCACGGTAGAAGTGTTCGTCTTTTGAGGCTATCCACGAATCAAGCCATTTTGAAATGTCTTCATATGAGCGGAACTGCTGATTAGCCAGACCATGTGCCATCGTACGGAACAAGTAATAATCGGACGGCGCAATATCTGGGGAATATGGCAGGTGGGGTAGGACTTCCCATTTGAGCGTTTCTAAGTAGGTTTTAACGGGTTTGGCAACGTGAGGCTGAGCGTTGTCATGCTGTAGAATCACTTTTTCGTGCCTCTGCTCGTATTGTGGCCGCTTTTCGCGCAGTGCTCAGCTCAATCGCATCAAATGAGTTCGATACCGTTCCCCAGTGATGGTTTCGTTCGGTTTCAACGGCTCATAATAAATAACACCGCCCTGGTCCCACCAAATACACAGCAAAACCTTCGCAGCGTGAATATTCGGCCGAGCCGACGACGTAGAAGCATGACCGGGCAGTCCCCATGATTTTGTTCTCTTTGGGTTGCTGTAATGAATCCATTTTTCATCACCCGTAACGATGCGATGAAGAAAACCCTTCCTTTTTTGCCGCTGGAGCAGTTGTTCACAGGCGAAAAAACGACGCTCAACGTCTCTTGGCTTCAAATCATAAGGAACCCAAGTTCCTTGTTTTTTAATCATTCCCAACGCATGCAATCGCTTGGAA